TGAACTGTATCAGTAAATAAAAAGATCCCGTCTAGGTAAAGAACGTGTTCAAAAACTTTTATAAAACCTCCTTTTTTCGTTGATGTCACACTTTGCTATTTCGCGTACCGATCGATACATGCACCATTTTTACATTTTGTACGCCGGGTTTCCCTTATTAATATCAAGCATAATCGGAGACGCTGAACACTTTTTTTAAAGTGGGATTTTGCTTAAGAAAGACCTGCGTGTGCGGGGTAGTTGGAGTTTTGGCTTTTTGTTACTTTCTGTGGACTAATACCCATAACTCGAGTTATTTCTTCGAGAATTTGACGCAAGTTAAGGTAAATACAAACTTCATCATTCATATCATTCTATACTACGACAGGCAATTTCGTAGGAGAGCAAATCACAAAATGATGCAACTGTATCACCCTAAAAGCGATCCAATTTTCAATTTTTCTTCGAGACACCCTTTTTCAAAGGAGGGCCGTAATATCCGTAACTTAAAGAAAACGCCAATTATAGCGATATTTTAAAATCTGTATGCGCAGTAAGAATGTTGCTTGTAAACTCTGTAAGCAGAACCACTCGAGGAAGCAAAGGTATTCCATCTACTACAAAGGTTACACCACTATTCGGACTTCTTGTTCATGAAGTTAAAGGCCTTTATGTATCTGTATTTTTGTATTCTACAAAAAGTATTTGAAAAGTTATACAAAAATATCATTCCGATCTCTTTGTTAATTCATAAAAGATTTTTCAGTGATCCAAATTCTTTAGTCTCTCTTAAACTATCTCACCAACAGCACCTCTTAAAATGTATGACTAATTTGCAAAGGATCTCCAAAGCATCTGTGAAGAATATTTGAAGTACATCTGAGGAATCTCTGACGGATCTCTAAAGAACGTCCTGACAGGTTCTGAAGAATGTAACGGTTGCTTTTAATTTGGAAATTTTTTTTCAAATTTTATAGATAGGTAAATTTGGGATTTTTGAGATTGTAAGGATTACATTACGTATCATGGAAGGTCCACAAGGTCTCAAAATGGAAGCCGTACGTTCCAATAAATTGTATGACTGGTGGAATTATAAGAAAAAATCTGTAAGCAAATTGGTGGAACTGACAATCGTCTTTTTTGCGTCATTTGAATTCTATGGCGCATTGTACTTTTAATGGGTTCCGAAAACCGTGGCGAAGTTAAGTCGGCAATAACAGAGGAAATACAATCTTAATCTGGACTCCTGAAACCAAAGGTGCTAACATCACGTCACTATGACATAAATTCGTCTACATGGTAATGGTAGAATTAAGCACAATTCCTGAATGTGGGTTTTCTAAACGACAATTAAAAGCTCCGGGGAGGCTGTAAGAAGAAATAATTACTAGACGCCAAAAAAGCGTTGGGAGGAATAATCTGTACGAAAAATGATAAGGTAATCAATTCTTGACCACCTATTTTCCGCCTTGAAGTTTCATACCCGAAGTTATGACCACACCGTATATTTGTGGAGTCGACCAGCTCTCCTGTAAATCCGGTATCTAGAAGCGTTTTAAGTTGGGCTCTTCGTTACGAAAAGTGTCGTGCCGAAAGTATTTGTGTTGGTTCTAGGAGTTCCAAATATAAGGTAGAAATTAGCGGATTAATTTGTAGAGCCGCCCGTTAAGGAAAATGAGAGACCGCGTTTCATTGGCCGTTTGCAACCGTTTCCGTAGGAATATTTTTTTACAGCCGCCGACAGCTCTCTTGCCTGGGGACATTTTTATTTTATTTATGAACATTTAAAAGCTGCTTATCTCTAAGAAAAAATTCGTAAATTATACCTAATTTTAATTGACGATTAAACATTTTCCAGTAAAATGCGAATTTAAACGTTAAAGATAGCAATCTTTGGGCACATTGAAGCCGTTCGTATTGGAGTTGCCGGAAAAAATCAAACCTCCTTATAGTGCAAACCACTAGAGTTGTTCCTTTCGATCAATTCGATCAAAAGATGCATTTGGGACAAATACGTTAGTAGTTTTTTTTTAATTAAACGTCAAGATTTGTTAAATCTTTCCCTAAGAAACAGTTTTCAATTAAGCATTTCAATCCTGATCTCTACCTGACCCGATTTTATTTTATGATGTAAAAATTCAATTTTTGCGAGTACTTGCCGCGGATTTGATCTACTCAGTATAAATATTCAGTTCAACCACAACGTCATTTTCCTTAGATTGCAATGAGAATACAATTTACAAAAGCTCGCCTCGCAGCCGTCTTCGTCGGTCTAGTTGATTTAGAACTTTGAATTTATCCCGTACCTTTATCTCCATGTATTTTGCATTCAGGTTTTTAAATTTGCATATTTCTGCGCAATCTATGTAATATCTTGAGAGGATTATACGCGTTCAGCGTTTTTTGGTTATTAAACGGAAAGGATGGTGAACGAGAAGCTGGGACGAAACAGTTTATATCCGTCAGAGAACTACCGTCCCGCTCACTACTTTATTGCATTTGCCGCAGAACTTTTTTATTTGATTAAAATTTCCATTTATATCTTAAGCGACATTGCGAATGAAGCTGGGTAGTAATAAGGTATTTGTCAATGTTCGTGACAGTGTAAGAATACTGTGCAAAA